ATATTTGTGAGTTCAAGGCCAGCCTGGTTTACAGGAGATCCAGGAAAAGCACAAAGCTACACAGAGAAACACTGTCTCAAAAAACCAAAAAAAAAAGAAAGAAAGAAAAAGAAAACTAGATAGCAAGAAGCCTGCAACAGCCATACAGTTTATAAGTAATATAAGCTTCTGAGTGATTATTTTTCAAGTGGGTTGTGGGACTGTGGGGGCATGATGGGACCTGGAGAGAACCCCTCCAGCTACACCCTTCCTCAATATACTCTGAGATCTGCCATGGTCAAGGCAGCTTCAATTGTCTCGTCCCTCTTCTGTCCCAAGCTTGCATGGTCATGCTGTCCACCTGCTTGTGTCCTCTGCAGCAGCCTTCTTGCACTGTGCCTGACCTGGAGCATCCTCCCAACACTGCTTAGCTGGAGATCTTTCTTGCTATCAAGGATTCCTTACCCCATACCCAGGCCCAAGGAGGGTCACCTCAACTCTGCATTTCATCAGATGTGCCTAATCTACATTGTCATCCTAGATGAGAGGTGACAGATCTACTCCAGGACTCCTTTGGCATTTACATGGGATACTCGTCCTTGTAAGATGCTTGCCCTCTGTGATCTCACATGACCCCTGCCAATCACATGAGCCTCAGGACCCACAATTCACTCATTCAAAGCGCTATGCATTGCATCCTACCTATAGTAATGACATGTGGGTTTGATATGCTATTGCCCCATTTCCCTCATTGGACCACAGTTTCAAGCAGAGCAGCATGCATGGCTTGCTAATAATTTAGTTTCTCAGAAGAGGCTAACTTCCCAGAAGTACTTGTGCATGGACACTGAAGTGAACACCTCAGATGGCATGATGTGGGTGGCTAGATGGGAGCATGGATGAGTAAGATGATGGGTGAAAGCACAGGTGAGTGGATGGGCAGACAGAAAATCCAATGGGCAAATGGTGCCAGACATTAGCCTGACCCACCTGCCTGCCCCTACCTGTTGTTGCTGGGTTTGGTGGTCACTGGTCTCTTCCTCTTGGTCCTCACACATCAATTTCAATGCCTCCAATGGTGCTTCAGCAGGACCCAATCCTCTCTCTGATTCTGGTTCTCCTGCCTCAGCATCGCTACCTGCTCCTTAAGCTGAGTATGTTCCATTAGGACCTGGCTGTGCAGACCACTGGAAAAGACCCTCTGTAAAGTAAGGCACTGCCAGTCCCCTTCTGCCACTCCTGCCTCCAGGAACCATCACGAGAAATGGCCCCAGGTTCTCAAGAAGATATAGCTAAGAGCCCAAAATAGCCATGACAGCTACACTCAAAAGGCCAAAAAGAGAGCAGCTGATTAAAAAAAAATCGAAATACTTCAGGAAAACCCAACACAAATAGGGATCCATGTCCTTTCAAAAGAAAGAGTGGTCCCTCAATTGTCCTGAACATCAGCAAGTAGTGGACAAATACCCTCTGAGAGAGGACAGGAGACCCAAGGGGAGTTTATTCTATCTACACTTTCCACAGAAACAAGATCTGTAAGCCTGGGCCTGAGTTCCCAGATGCCCAGGGTAGCCTGACATTCCCCTCACAGTGCAAATTTCTTTTCTTTTCTTCCTCTTTGCTTTTCTTTTCCTTTCTTCCTTTCTTCATTACTTCCTTCATCTCTTTCTTTTTGTTTGTTTGGTTTTTGAAACATGGTTTCTCTATTTAACAGTCCTATATGCCCTGGAACTCTCTGTAGACCAGACTGGCCTTGAGATCACAGAGATCTGCCTACTCTGCCTCCAGAGTACTGGAATGGCACCACCACAGCTCAGTTTGCTCTTCTACCTAGAGGCTCCTGAGGCTCCAGGACAATGGTGGGAGGAATGGATAGTCTCTTTCATACTTAGCAAACTATGTGCAAGAGACACAAGTCAAAGAGATGCTTGCTAAGGTACAAAAAGGACAGAACCAGAGCTGTGCACTCTCCAGTGTAGAGAAAAGGAAAGGCAGAGATTGCCACTCAACAACTATTGGGGTCCATGCCAACAGGCACTTACCGATAGAAGACTGTCAGGTTGGCAAGCTCATCCACCTTCTCTGAAGCCTCCGTGTTCTCATTCTGCAATCTCTGTAGGTCAGTCATGACCTCCTCATGCTCCATCTTCAGATCTTCATACCAAGTGTTTGGCCTGTGGGAGGACATGGCACCAGGAACAAAGAACTTTATGAATATAGGCCTCAAGGATCATGTGAACACAAGCTGTTGTCCTGATCTACCACAACACAGTGGAGGCCTCAGTCTGGCTACTATGTACTGAAACTTCCTGGTGCTTAATTAACTTGTAAACCTGGCCCCAGGCCAACAAAGGCTGGGTATTCAGATGGAGGGTGTCCTTGGGGCATGAGCCCACTCAGTAGACCTGGAGAGACAGTCTAGCTCTCCGTTCCCAGAAGTCTATGCTACAGGTCTTAGCCCACAATAAACCTGTAATGATGTTTCTCTTGTTTCAGGACAAAGACTCTTTTTTTATTTTTTATTTTTTGAGACAGGGTTTCTTTGTGTAGGTTTTTACCTTTCCTGGAACTCAGTTGGTAGCCCAGGCTATCCTCGAAACTCACAAAGATCTGCCTGGCTCTGCCTCCGGAGTGCTGGGATTAAACATGTGTGCCACCACTGGCCGGCTTTTTTTCTAAGATTTACTTATTTATTATGTACACAGTGATCTGTCTTCATGTATGTCTGCATGACAGAAGAGAGCACCAGATCTCACTATAGATGGTTGTGAGCCACCATGCGGTCACTTGGAATTGAACTCAGGACGTCTGGAAGAACAGCCAGTGCTCTTAACCTCTGAGCCATCTCTCCAGCCATCTCTCTAGCCATCTCTCCAGCCCCAGGATTCTTCATCCTGGGTCACTACTACTGCTCAGATGGACAAGAAATAGAAAAACAGTGACGAGCTCCAGGACTATCAGTCACTCATTGAAATAAATCAAGTTGGATCCAGTCTGACAAGCTGCTAACAGGATCTTCCAGCACATAATTACCTACCAGGCAAGTTCAAAGACTCACACAAACACACAGCAGCTAGTATCTCACACAAGCCATGTCATGGTCTTTTCAAATTCATGCTGGAAACTCAAAGAATACTGTATCAGTCCCTGAGTTGTGTGACTCAGACTCCAGGCTTGGGTTTTCATTGGAGGAAGCAGAATATTTAGGAACCCCATCTCCCTCCCACCCAGGTTTCAAGTTCTGCCTCTTCATTGAGAGGCATTTAGGGACATGAAGTAGGGCACAGGGAAACCCTGAGGTTTCATGCTCCTAGAGTCCAAGACATTAAAATGAAGATGAAGGTGACTTGCAGATGCAAAATTGACACCAGGAAGTTTGAAACAAGAGATACTTATTGTGCATTGATCCTTTCCTGATGAAGAATAGTTGATCTCGCAGCTCATTTCTCTCCCTTGTCACCAGCTGAAGCTCCATGTTCAGTCTCTGCATCTCCTTCCTCACCCCTTTCTTGGTGAGGAGGGTTGGATGGGATGAAGACTCCATAGCAGCCTCTGTAGTAGATGAACACAAGTGAACTTGCATAGTGACAAGACATAGAGGAGAAACAGAATACCCTGAGGCCCAAACAGAAAGATCACGTCGGCAACCCAGTGACAACCCAAATATTTCAGGCCAGGTGAAGATGTACCCTTTGTGGATCTCAGCTTTCCCATCATTCTGTAGAAATGTGGCTATGTAATCAGCCAGGGGTTTCCTCTGCCTCCCTACACATGCCTCAGAGAACACAGAGATGGCTTCTTTGGGCCAATTTACAGCAGCCCAGGATGCAACATGCATGGACCCAGAGCCCTGAAGTCTCTGTCTGTGTTTTCAGAAGCCAGGAGAAAAATAACACAGTGCACAAGCACTCAGGCACTGTGGACAGTCCAGATCTCCTGTCTGGTCACTCCAGGCTCATGGCTGAGATTGAAATGTCATGCAGAGACACAACATGCTTAACAGACTCACAAAGTCATCCCACTGCCAGCCCAGAACATGCAGAGTTCACATGAAGGAGCCAATATCTGCCCTGGTCCCACACCTCTACAGTTGTTTAACTACACTAGAGATCTACCTGCCATCCTCAACTGATGATTCAGGACCCTAAGAGACCACTGTCAGGGAGAAGTGGTTAGAGGAGTCTGCTGGACAGCCTGACGACATGATGTCTTGGCCACAAGCACTTGTCTCTCCATGTGACTAGTGTCGACAGCCACTGCATCTAAATGAAACTTCAGAAGCTGAAGTGCAGTGATGCCTGGCCTAGGCTGGTGACACATTGGTCCCTCTGCCTCCTGTTTGTCTCCTTCTGTCCTCTCATTACACCTACAAGACTCAGGAAAGGTAAAAGATAAGCGTGCCCAGCATAACAGCCTTGACCTTGCTGGATCCTGGCTTAGAGGAGGCACACACTAATGTCCTGGACCCTGGACTTTCGAGAATTATGAGATGCGGGGAAGTCCATTTGCTTCTCAGAGGCTCCAGTTCTTCTGCCCCATTACTGGAGGGCCCAGTTCTAGCCCACCTCCTCCAGGAAGCCCCCATCTCCTGCCCAGCACTCACTGTGCCTTCCCCAGAAACCCTTTTTGGTTGTTTTCCTCTGAGAGTCAAGATCAACTTCCTTCCGTCTCTCTCTGTTCTCCGTATATTCTTCATTCTCTCTTCCAAGAAGACTCCTCAGTCTTACCAGCAGCATGTCTATGCTCTACCCTGTAGACAGAAGGATTGCCCTGAAGGCAGTTGATGTTGCTACAGTACTGGTGACATCACAGGGGATGCCAAGATACAATAGAATGCCCATGGGACTTGGGGATTTAGCTCAGTGGTAGAGAGCTTGCCTATCAAGCACAAGGCCCTGGGTTTGATCCTCAGCTCTGGAAAAAAACGAATGTCCAGAGAAGGGACTGCTGATGTCATGGGGAACAGCCTTTGCCACCCTGCTAACTGGTTCTCCCATAACTGACCAGAAGCCCAGTTTCACTTTCTAGGAGCTCTCTTGGAACATAGAGGAAGCAATTCAGCACCTCCTCCTTCCTAACCCTAGTTCTCTTAGTTTCATTGGAAGCCCCATAATACATCCCATGTTGGGAATTTAGCCATACTATCAAAACATTGCCCAGGAATGTCCTATTCCTTCTTCAATATCTCTCTATTCATTAATATGAGCATTTAAATAGTATAGAAACACAGATGATACCCCAATTCCTTTCATTCAGAGTTCTAATTATGATGGAGTTCAGACACTTATATTCCTGATGAGTACCATGGTATACTATCCAAGGCCCAGATTTGTTATAGGACTGGGTGCAGACAAGCAATGTGTTGCTGTCAGTAAGAGGTCCTGCCCAGGACCTCTGACCATAAGAGACTTTAGAGAAACCACCCCTCTTCTTCCTCAAGACTGTTGATGTACAGCCTTCGCTCGGAGCCACAGACTACAGAGCTCTTCAAAAGGGACTCACATTACTAGGAAACTACACGTTTCTATTTCCCGTGTGTTTAAGGTGGTTAAATTCAAATAGACAGTGCTTAGCCAGGGACTAGCCATCACATCCTGGACCTCACATCCTAGGTGCTTTTTCAGGAATTCATTAAAGCTGGTTTTCTTGGTTCTACAGCTTCTGGTTTCAAAGTAAAATAACAACAAACACTGTATATCTCTCAGAAAGAACAAATAAATAACAGTAATGTAATTGTGTGAGCACATCAGTGGGAAATCAAGCCTAACTGAGGAGTGGAAACCAGGACTGTGTCCTGACCTCTGTGGGCTAGACAGAGGGGGGATTGGGCGCATATTAGCATCCTCTGCAGAGACAGAGTGAGGTGGAATGAACACTGACCAGGCTGAACAACCATCCTGAGCCCCTGCAGGTATGGTTACAAACAGACTCCCAGTCTACATTCCAAGGAGCTCCTGCTGAGGCCATGGTCTTTGTCTGACCCTGTGCACTATTTAAGGTCATGCAGGCATCTGTCCAGGGTATACATGGTTCTTCCATTCAGCAGTTGCCAGAACAAGGAGCCAAGGTCAGGAGTGGTGATCACCTGCCATAAAATATGTGACAAAAATTATGTAGAATTCACTTGTGTTTAAAATCAGGGGCCCTCTGTATAGTTTTGGGTCTATGTTAGCCTTGTGCAAGAGCTTTATGAGTCCAGTTCCTATATTCATTGGGTTTTCCATGATGATGCCTTGGATACGCCTGGAACCAACCTGAACTGAGGTCAGAGAGCTGGAGTCACAGAGTGGAGAAAACATGACTGAATCAGGATTGCAGACTTGGGGTCTGAGGTCCAGCTCTATCACTTACTACTTGGCTGAATCTGGCTCATCATGTTCCTTCCCATGTATATACCCTAGGGGAATGGCCAAGGAGCATTGTCTCTGGAATGACAGTGCCTGCCTCAGACAAGCAGGTCACCAGAAGCCAATTCAGCTCAGCCACTTCTCTGCAACAGGAGTAAAGAGCAGGAGATAGACAGCCTTTGAGAGGCTGCTTAGGCAGCAGGATCCCTGCACATGATCAGGAGATTGTCACTTTGCCACCTGCCTCCTTAGCTTAGTGCCCAGAAGAAAAGATGCCAATGGGGCTGGAAGTGCAGGGCCAGGGGCAGCACTTATCAGACACTGGAAAGCAGGCCGCCACTGACTTCCAGAAGGGATGGGGATTTCGTCCTCTCCTGGCTGCAGTTCAAGTCTGTCTGACATTCTTCCTTTTTTCCTTCCTTCCTTGCTACCTTCCTTCCCATGGTTCCTTCCTTCTTTTCATTCCTTCCTTACTTCTTTTCTTTCTTGTTCCTCCCATCCTTATTTCCTACCTTCCTTTTTTCCTCCCTCCCTCACTTCCTTTCTCCCTCCCTTCCTTCCTTTTTTCCTTCTTTCCTTCTTTCTTTCTTTCCTTCTTTTTTTCTTTCTTTTCAGGCTTCCCTGGAACTCAGAGATATTTCCTTCTATGCTTCCAGTGTTCTAGTATTAAAGATGTGAGCAACCACCACCCACATGCAGGCCAAGAGTCTAGGACTCTATGTTAGGTCTCTGATTTGACAGGAAGGAAGCAGGAGGTAGATGTATTCTAGTCTGATGACAAAGACAACTTGTAGCTAGAATTTTCCTGCCTTGCCCACAGTCAGGACAAATCTTTGTCACCCGCCAGTCCCACAGCCGCTCAGACCCAACCAAGTAAATGCAGAGACTTACATTGCTTACAAACTGTATGGCCAAGGCAGGCTTCTTACTAACTGTTCTTATAGCTTAAATTAATCCATTTCCATAAATCTATACCTTGCCACATGGCTCGTGGCCTACCGGCATCTTCACATGCTGCTTGTCCTGGCGGTGGCTGGCAGTGACTCCTTCTGCCTTCCTGCTCTTTCTTTTCTCCTCTATGTTAGTCCTGCCTATACTTCCTGCCTAGCCACTGGCCAATCAGTGTTTTATTATTTGAACAATCAGAGCAACACATTTGCCATTCAGAGCATCCCACAGCACTTCCCCTTTTCTTTTCTTTTTTTTTCAAAAAGGAATGTTTTAACCTTAACAAAGTAAAATTACATATAATTTGGGAATTTGGGCGTAGCTTCTCTTACTACTTCTTGCTGGAGGGGGGCGCTCTATCTTATGGGGACAAAAAGAAAATTTTAGGATTATGGAATAGTCCATGAGGCTGTATTGTCTGAGCCAGTTGCCTTCAAACCATTCTGGATGTTGGATCATCTGGGCCATGGTGTCATCAGAGACCTTTCAGGGTGTCTTGGCTGGTTAAACCTGTTGTATCTTAGTCTGGAACAAATCCATAGCCTCTGGCTTTCTGTGGGAACAAAAGCAGAGTCTCCTTTCCAAAGCAACACATTCTTACATCCAAATTTTGAAGTCAAGATATCTTTAAAATACACATATTGGTTTAACTCAACATCTTTTACAATCAAATGTTTTTCTGCAGTTAAAAATCCCAAAGACAACATAATCCAGATTCTCTGTGTAATATTCATCTTTACGTGGCTTATTTTTTATATTAATTTTATTGTCTCTTTAAAGACTTTATTTTTTTAAACTATGTATTTGTTTATATAACTGTATATATCACCTTTTTTGTCTCTTTCAAGCCTACGTATATTTTACATACATTGTAAACAATTACATCTGATTCTGTCTTATTGTGAATCTATTGCTTTAAACTGCAGCATTTGTAAGACTGAAAGGGCGCTATGGCTGCTGGCTCTGCCCACCTCAGCTTCCCAACATGGCGGTGGTACTTTACCACCAGCTCTGGGAGCTATCGTGGGTCTATGCTTTTATCCAAGCAGTGTGTAGCTCAGAAACCTCTTTTTTTGTTTTGTACTAGCAAAGGCTAAATCCACCATGCAGCTTAATGTGCCACCTGCAGAGGCCTCATTCCCGCCATACTGCAGGTCGAGTGCGCACACCAGGAACCCACAAGTAGCTCAAACTGGCAAGCTGCCGCTCATTTGAGAGAGACAATTAGGAAGCTGTTTTTAGCTCCATTTTAGAATCTTTTCTCAGGCTTAAGTGGAAACTTGCCAACACATTGGGCACCAAAAACTTCAGAACAGAGAGGCAAAGTGCCAAACTAACCCCAACACATGGTGAGATCTACCACTGGGCTAGAGTGTGCCACACATAGAGAGAGGAGACATTTCCAGGTAGGGTGGTGGACAGAGGCTGTACCCAGGCTGCAAAGGTGTCAGTGGTGGGTGCTGGGTTTCAGTCCTGGTGTCTGACAGCTGCACTCTGGCTTGTGCATGGGCTTCTCCCATTCTAACCCTCCTCACTTTTCTTTCTCTTCACCTTGATGTTGTTTTGAAGACAGGGTCTCACTGTAGACTTGTCCGACCTGGAACATGCTATGTAGAAGAGGCTGGGCTTGAGCTTACAGAAATCTGCATACCTCTGCTTTCTGAGTCCTGGGATAAAAGGCATCCATCACAAGGCCTGGATTTCCCATTACCTTCTCTCTCTCTCTCTCTCTCTCTCTCTCTCTCTCTCTCTCTCTCCATCTTCAACCTGTGTCTCCCCATTTTCTGGGCTATGTGGCTCTTAAAATGATGATCAGTACCTCACTAGGTGGGAGGACCACAGACTACCCTACGGCCACACTGTCTACCTTCTGTCAATCCTGGACATGTAGGCTGTTAGTCAATGTGGCCAAGTACAGCTTCAAGGACTGAAAGGTCTCCACTGGCTCAGGGTCCATATTTTCTTTTTGGAACTGAAGAACTGTCTGCACTGAAAGGAGCTCACAGAATGGGGAGAGGGAGGGCAGGGTGTCTTAGCTGGACTCTGGAGACAAATAATCCATTCATTCTGTAAGCCATAGGTCATCTACACTGCAAACGTACTGCATACTGGGTCTTTCTTGCACAAAGCAAGCAGCATCAAAGAGATGGTCAGTTGTCTTCTCAAAGGAGGCCAGCATCAATACACTCTCCTTCATGTTGGCCAAGCCAAATTTGGTAATAACCAGGTGTTCACCCTGTGGAAGGGAAGATGGTCAGATGAGTCTCAAGCCACTCCAGGAAGTTCAAAACCAAAGTAGAAGACATTATCCCAATGCTAGAACCAACAGGAACAGCCAAGCAGCTATTCATGGCACCACTAAAAGCGTGTGGTTTTTAGTGCAGCTTCATAGCCATTGGGGCTTGATGATCCCAAGGGCAAGGAGCCTGTCACTTGTCAATTGTACCTGGATGCTGTGCCACACAGAATTAGGAATCTAAATTTTAAAAAGAGGGGTTGCTTCCCCTTTCCTATGATCATTAAGCTAATACTAGAAGAAATTTAGTTAATTCCTTCCAAGAAAAGAAACCGAATATACAACAGAGCCACACAGGACCACCACTGTCAATATCTTATCATCTGAGGGAGGGCTTCATGAAGCCTCCCCTGAAGATTGATAGCCAGGTGGTCATTTTTTGGGGTGTGGGGTGGGGACAGACATATTCTCCAATGGTGTAAAAACTGGTGAGGTGCCCGTGGTTCAGTAAAGAACCTGTCCCTAACATCTGCCCTTGTAAGCAGCCCTAATGACATTCATTGTGTGGTTAAAAATAGGCATCAAAATAGAAGGACTAGGAGGAAGAGGAAGGGGCAACGGAAGTGGGAAGTGCACAAGAGAGGGTAACAGGAGGTGAATATGACCACAGTGTGTCAGGATATATATACATAAAAGGGTCATAATTAAATCCATGTTATGCTGTAACTGTAATTCTTGCTTAATAATTGTTTTGTTATATGTAATTTTACTATGTTAAAGTCAAAACCTTTTTGAAAAAAAAAGAAAAGAGAAGTGCTGGGGATGTCTTTCTTTATGCTGTGAATGTGTTGCTCTGATTGATTGATTGATAAATAAAACGCTGATTGTCCAGTAGCCAGGCAGGAAGTATAGTATATGCAGAATAAGCAACGAGGAGAATTCTAGAAAGTCAAAGGCTGAGTCAGGAGACGCTGCCAGCTGCTGCTGCCATGAGAAACAAGATGTAAAGTACCAGCAAGCCACAAGCCATGTGGCAACTTATAGATTAATAGAAATGGGTTACTTGGATCTGAGTGGCTGCGGGCCAGGTGGGACTGGAGAAAACTCCAACTACGTTATGCATAATTAATATATGCTAATAAATGCTTTTGAGTACGCATAATCAATGGGTCATGATGAAGAGTACCCAAGGTTGTCCTCTGACCTCCACATAAATGGAGCTGCATCCACATGATTATGTACCCACATGTACATATGACAAATAGATATAAACCTGTATTGCAGATCCAGTGAAATACCATAACCTTTAAAAAAATCAAAGTTGAAGAAGACTTGCCGACAACCTCTCCTTCAGAGCTGCCATGGCCCCACCTGCTATAGTTTATTCTATAGGCTGGAGATGAGCCCAGGGACTCAGGGATATTTACCCTGACCTTGTTCTACATCTAAGCTATATCTCTGGTTCCATAATGTCCTCTACTGCAGGATAGCCTTATCTGGAAAGTGTCATGGAAACACAATGCACTAGTGTATGGGAAGGAAGCAAACACCCATAGCAGCTCCCCCCTACACTCCTACCTGAGAGCAAGGTAATTTACTGTGTGTGTGTGTGTGTGTGTGTGTGTGTGTGCTGGAGATCAAACACAGGGTCCGTGCATGTTAGGCAAGCACTCTACTGCTGAGCCCCTAGCCCTACTCTCTGGAAATGTTTACAAACACAGCACTAGGAAGGGGCTAGGGAACACTCACCCCAAGTCACTTGGGCATCCTAGTTTTGGTAATGGCCAGATTGGCTATAGAATAAAACTCAGGACATGGACAAAAGCTGTGTTCAAGTTTTTCTCCTCCAATGACTGGTTGTATTGAAATTCTCACATGGAGATTTTACTGAAACACCTGATCCCATCAGCACACATGGGCCTTTGGTGGTGACACCTACTTCCTGTCCAGGTCAGTCCTCACAGAAGTGTACTTTCTATGCTGTTTACACTCTCTGGCTGTTTGCCAGACAGAGGATTTCACGACCCCTGACAACCCGGAGCCTCCCTTCTCTCACACTTTGTAGGTCATCAGGTCCGAGAGCAGCATCACATGCCTCCTGTCGATGCTCATGCCATGGTCGACATCTTGGGCTGGATCTTGTTAATAATGATGGTTGTCCAGGCAGCCTCAATGCCCAGAGATTTCTCCACCCAGGAAGAGATAGGAGTGAGTGAAGGCAGTCCCTTCTGGGAGCTACCTCACTACTAGTTCTTCCCTTTTGACAAGCACAAAGCAAACACTGCTCTATTATCAAAGTAGATTGTTTTGTAATTGTTGGGGAAGCAAATCCCAGGGTCAGGAAACTGCTGGGTATTGGCTGTGGGTCCAGATGCAATGGTACCTCATAGGCGTTACTGGAAGTCATCTGAGTGCCTTTCACACTATTGGTGGCCATGACTGCCCAAAGGTTGTCACCTTCTACCAGAAGCTTGAACTTCTCCTTCCTGCTCTGCTCGTCAATATGGATGACAGCTCTGGACACCCCCAGGGTGCCCTGTGCCACCACCTACATTCAACACAGAATGCTTAAGATGCTGTAATCCCTAGGTCCCTACTGAGAGCCTCATAAATGGGGCTGAAGACTGGGCTGGTAACTAGTTCATGCCATTCTCAGCCCATTTATCACCAGCAGTGTGTGTACTCCAGGGGTGCCTAGGTACTGCTTGGGTTAGGAGAAAGGTGGTTCAGAGGACTGTGCCCCAACCTACAGTCAGCTTGAAGAGAGAGCAGAAAAGAGACTAATGGATAGTGTTGCAGTCTCAGAACTAAGGATAAGAGAAGAAAGGCCTTTGTGCTGCTTGGGCTTTTTGATTGTCTTAGCTCAGGAAACTTCATTGATTGGAAATCTGACATCCTGGTGAAATGTTCTGGAATTTTCTATAAATGTAGGATTGATGGATTGTGATCTGCAGAGCCAGAGCCTGGCTCCTCACAGACTACATGTTCTCCCCTCCTCTGCCCCTTCCCCAGGTCATGATCCTAAAGGAGCAGTCAGTGATGCAGAACCTCCCTGGCAGTGCCTGCCTCTCAGAGCTGGGCCAGAGCAACAGCGCCCTCACCATGGCCCTGTGTGGCTCCAAAGGTGAGCTAAGTCCTCAGGGTTGGCTGTCTGTGTGCCCTGCCAGGGGTTTGGCTCTAGAATGTGTCGTTGGTCGTAACATCACAGAGGCTCTTCATTTCTTTAAGTGCCTGTCTATAAATCGTGGAGGACTGAGCTTTTGTTTGATTTGGGTGGGGGCAGTTAAGTTTTTTGAGGAACTGGTGGATAATTTGGCTGAGTTCCTGAGTTTGAATGTGCTTTGATTAAATTTGGCATTTGAAAATTTAACCTTAGAATTTTCAGTAATAGATTTAGTGAAGTAACAGTCTTTTTTCTTTGGCATGTTGATTTTGGTTTCCAATGTTCTTTATTAAAAAATATTGATTTTTTTCATTGCTGTTATTTTTTATTTTTGGCCTTGAGATAAAGAAAGTGCAGTACTCCACCCTCGTTTTGAGAAACCCCCCAGAAAGAGGAATTTTTTTTTTTTTTTAATATTAGAGGGCCCTAGGTGCATGTCATGCAGGAGCCGCTAGGTGGCGGTGTAGCGAGAGGGCGCAAAGCGGCAGATGAGAAGCCTCTCTGGACAGACCCCGTGGCAGAAGAGGAAGCAGCACGTGGGGCGGCGCTCTACGGTGTCCGAGGGACAGCGGCTGCTCTCTGAGCCCTAAATCCAGAAGCGCACGGGAAGCTGCAGCGACAGTGGATTCTGTAGTCGGAGCCCCAGAGGGCGCCCGGAAGCCGGCACCATGGTGAAGGAGTGGTTCTGGGAGACCAATGTAGCTAAGAAAATGGAAGACGCGGCCGGTGGCGGAGCCTGGGGTTCCAGGTGAGGGACAGTTGTGAAGGGAGCGGAGAGAGAAGTTCCAGGATGGGATTTCAGATCTTACGGGGTCCCTGAACTGCGGCAGAGAAAGTGGGATGGACCGAGCAGTGTCAGAACTGGCGTCCTGAGCCAAGATGCCACCTCCTGAAGCCCCGCGCTGACTCCTCTCAGGAACTTTTCCCTGGCAGGAGGAGACAGTGTGTGCTGACCCGAGGTTGTCAGCCAGAAAGTGGGTTCACAGCGGCTAGGTGGCAGGCTGAGATCCAAGCTGCTATTCTGGGCCCTCTGCTTCAGAACCTAATTATTAAACGGTAGACCTTCCTTATGAGTTTGCAGGGTTTTCCCCCCCGCGTAGATCTGTTTATTTTTCAAAGAACAAGAGAGAGTTCTGAGGCCAGTGTTGAGCACTAAAGATTCCGCATGAATGCAGCATTTGCTGCTTGGTCTAGTGGAGAGTAGTCGAATCAACTATGGTTGCGGCAAATGCAAGGACAAACAGAGGGGATCACGGGAGCACACATTATAAGAAGTCCGGGCTTACCACAGACCAGGCCTTTCTCTAAAAGCATATTGGAGGGACAGGGTGGACTGATAGAAGTGAAGCAGGGGACCTACAAGAAGTGTCAGACTCTTGAAGTGTTTGACCATGACAGAGTTTGAGTAAGATTCCTCCTTCTGGGAGGCCATGGCAGGAATCCAGACTGGAAATGATGATGGCCTGAACTGGGGGTGGAGACCTGAGGATGGGTGTAGGGACATGGAGAGAAGAGGATTCAAAGAGGCTTAGTGTGTAAAGTCGAAAAAAGAGTAGAGATGGAGGTAAGAGAGAAATGAGATGGACATTTTATGTGTGTGGTTGATTGACGTTTACTAGAACAGATGTGTGACCTGGGTGACCTCCAGATGTTCTAAGTATCCACCCCTCCCAGTACTTCACACCCACCCTATACACTTAAAATACTCTCTCACAGCAGCCCCAGGAAACTGTTAGAATGCAGATGAGGTCAAGTTGTGATGGCACAGGCCCATTATCCCATCACTCAGGCCAAGGCAGGAGGATCATAAGTTTGAGGCTAGTCGGACCCACATAGTAAACAAAGAAACAAAGAAAACTAGATCTATGTCACTTGGATCTTCCAGTTGCTCTCTATTACACTGACACTTCATACTCTCCTGATTCCCAAGTCTTGCCCCCCCTCCCTCCTCGCAGGCCTTACTAGAGCCATCCTGTACCCTTAGCTAGCTGTCTGTGCCCCATTGTGCTGCTTGCATGTGGTTGCTTGACGATGCCCAGAGTGTATGGGCCCAGGGATCTGTCTTCTGCTTCCAGTGTTCATTCTTCTAATTGCCTTATGTGAGAGCCCCTTTCCTACTTGGAATTCAGCTGGAAGGTCAGTTTTGCAATGAAGCTTTCTTCAGAGACCCTGTTGTGTCCCCAGACTATACCATTCTATGTCATTTTGATTCTTAACATCTTTTATGAATAGTCATCACTCCATGGGACACTGGTTCCAACCCCTCAGCACTCACAGACACTAAACTGTGAGGATGTTAACTCCTTTATGCAAAGTGGCATGGTATCTCTAGATAATCTATTTGGCTTTGTAAATTGTTTGTGTTTTTGTCTGTTGGTTGGTTGGTTGGGGTTTTTTAGAAAATAACGAAAGGGAGAATAGCTGTACCTGTTCCCAGTGCCCCTTGGCAGGCTGTTGTGTCACTCTGGGAGAACTGCTCTTGCTAGTAAGTGGTTTCTAGACTTTCCAGTCCTCTGGCCTTTCAGTTTCCTGGCATGCCAGAGTCCTGTACAGCTCTGACAGATCCTCAACTGCGGTCTGGCCTCTGTTCCCTTCCTACCATTTCTCAATGCTCTTTGAGATTTCCTACATTATTTTCTCAGATGGTAGGGAGATGTTAATGGCTGAAAGATGGGTTTTTGAGCCTGAGTCTTTCTATGTCAGTGGTTCTCAGATTGTGAGTCTTGACCCCTAGGGGTTGAACAAACCTTTCAAAGGCATCACCTGAGACCATCAGAAAACACAGATATTTATATTACAATTCATAGCAGTAACATAACTACAGTTATGAAGTCACAACAAAAATAATTTAATGGTTGGGGGGGGTCACCACAACATGAGCAACTGCATTAAAGGGTCTCAGCATCAAGAAGGTTGAGAAACATTGCTCTATTTAGTCTTGCCTGTCCTGGAGATTACTATGTAGACCAGGCTGGCCTGCATGTGCCTTGAAAAGCAGGATTAAAGATGTGGGACACTTGCGCAGCTCCATTCTTGGGATTTTTAGATCTCTAGTAATTTGCAGAATTCTTAATAAGTTAGTAATTCATATTTAAATATAATATAATATATTTGTCAATCTTTAAGAATTTCATACATACATACAATATATTTTCATCACGTTCACACCCTACTCTTCCCCTAAATCTCCTCAGATCCACTGCCTATCCCTTCCCAACTTCATGTTCTCTCTTTCTTTAAATAACCCACCAAGTCAAATTTATGCTGCCCATCTCTTAAGGGTATGGGGTCATCTGCTGGAACACAGTTAACCCACCAGGAGCCACACCCTTAAAGAGAACTGGTTCTCCCCTCCCTAAAAGCCATAAACTAGCAATGGCTCCTTAGCTAGGGTGGAGTGTTGTGAGCCCTTCCCCTCCTCCACAACATAACACTTACACTAATCAACTTAATTCAAAGGTAATATAAACTTATTAAGAAAAAATTGATTGTAATTAAAAGAAAACAAACTCAGTAGTTAGGTGCTTGCGAAAGGATTTCAGTTGACTATCCGGAACCCACATGTGGTCAAGGAGCCAGTATGGTGGTGTATGTTTATAACCACAACTCTGGAGAAGTGGAGACTCGAAGAATCCTAGGGCTCACTGGTCAGCTCGCCCTGGGGTCCACTGGTCAGCTCGCCCTAGGCAAGTCTCCAGCACATAGCAAGTTTGAGGCTGCGTGGGATCCTGTCTTCAGAAAAGCAAACATAGGGAAGGATAGATAACTGTATCTAGAGTTCCTGCAGAGTTCTGCAGCTGGTTTGATTCCAAAGTGTTGGCCCCTGGCTTTGATCTGCCTTTTGTGACTGCTACCTTTTGTGTCCAGTACCTTCTGTTTGAAGTATGTAAATCTTATCTGAGAGTTTCCAAAAGATTCAAAGTCTATGTGAAGCTTGGTTATGGGAGGACTCAGCAAACTGAGATGTCCTGTGGCTGGGAATTGCTATGGCATTTGTCTCTTTGGGGAGCTTCAGATAAGAGGTTTTGGTATGCAGAAATTGACTTGCTAGAGATGTGAATTATACTCCATAAAAAAGCCCTTTGCAAAGCTATGGTGAGTCAGTTCGACACAGGCTGACTCCCCTGCAGCAGCAAAGGCTAAAATTCATCCTAGAGTGCACCTGTTTCTTCCAAGGACAGTGTGGACCCAACACATGACACAACAGATAACTTTACCAACCCTGAGGAAACTAACCTCCTATCTCCCTTCCTTCCTTCCTACTTCCTATAGGAGAACTTGAATCCCTTAGTTGTTCTGAATTTGTTTAAGCGCATCCTCGCTGAAGATGTCCTTTTACTTCTGATGAACCCAGAAGCTGGAAAGCCCTCTGATTTGATTCTCACCCGACTTTTGGTGCCTCCCTTGTGTATCAGACCCTCTGTCATGAGCGATTTGAAGTCTGGAACCAATGAAGATGACCTGAGAATGAAACTGACAGAGATCATTTTCCTAAATGATGCTATTAAAAAGGTCAGTGTTTCCTGTTAACTTGTGCATTCTGCACCACATGCATCTAGAGATGTTAGCTCACTAGAATGCAAGAAAACTCAGAGAGCAGGTTTGTTTCTGATCTTCCTGTACTTGTAGCACTGGATCTCAGGAGCCAAGACACAGCTGATAATGGAGAACTGGGATTTCCTGCAGCTGCAGTGTGCCCTCTACATCAACAGTGAGCTCTCTGGCATCCCCCTCAACATGGCCCCCAAGAAGTGGACTTGAGGCTTTGTCCAGCGCCTGAAGGGGAAGCAGGGTAGGTTTCTGACAAGATCTACCATTGTTACCTACTAAGGGAGTATCTGTCTGTTCAGATCCCCAGAAACAGCACAGTTCATATCATGGAACCCTTGGTGGTTTTGATTTATTTAGATTGATTTAGAGGTAATCTGTCAGGGAAGTGGGTGGATTTTTCTGACCAAACAGTCATCTCACCTGACCCCAACCTCTGGATTGATGAAATAGCTGTGACAGTTCATGTGGCCAAAATTCTAACTTTTCCTGAGAAGGTAAATACCATTCAGCTGCCCAGTTCTTTGTTTCCAATCCAGTGTTTCCATTTTGGTAGTTCATGCTACATATAGAGGCAAGTCCCCAGAAACCCACACAGCTTTGTGAAAATATATCATTCCACTGTTTTTTATGGTTTTAAAAATAGTCGTCTGTCTGCATATACATCTGCATGCCAGACGGGGCCATCAGATCCCATTATACACAGTTGTGAGCCTTACTGTGCTTCCTGGGAATTGAACTCAGGACCTCCAGAAGAACAGCCAGTGCTCTTAACTGCTGAGCCATCTCTCCAACTCATTCCACTTTGTTAAACACACAACCTCTGTAACATCTACACTGGTGCAGTCATAGTTATAGCTGGTGGTTGTTGGGTTTTCATTTGTTTGTTTGTTCCAGAGGTGGAGATCCAGCCTGGGACCATGTGTGCCAGGCATGTAAACACTGGATCACTGACCTACACCCTGCTCCACACACCATGGGATCTCACTGACTCTAAGGAGACAAATTTTTTTGACAATTCTTATAAAATAGCTATATTCAATAACAAGTTTATTTTTAAGTGGTTTGGGTTTGGGTTTGGTTTTAGTTTGTTTTTTTAAGAGAAGGTTTCACTATGTAGCTGTCTGTCCTGGAAATTACTATGTAGACCATGGTGGCCTTGAACTGACAGAGCTCTGCCTGCCTCTGCCTCCCAAGTGCTGGGATTAAAGGCCTGTGCCACTGTGCCGGTCTCAGCTTTTTAAGTTTTTAAAGGGGTGATGGATAAAGTACTTAAGTTACTGTGTTTGTATTCTGTTCTTATTTTTAGTGTATGTGTGTGCACACATGCATCAGTGTGAGTGCACATTTACACAAGTGTGTATGTGGAGGTCAAAGGACAGATTTCAGGAGTCACTTCTTCCCACAGTGAGTTCCAGTGATGGAGCTTAGGTCCTCAAACCTGCTGGCAAGTGCTTTTACCAAACCAATGAGCCATCTCACCAGCTCTACCATATCACTGTCAGTTAGAGACAGCTGCAGATGAAAAAAGAAAGCATTTTTATATCTGCAAAAGAATCAGCTGTTTGTTTTCATGAATTTTAATTTTCTTTTTTCCCCAGTGCTAGAGATGAAACTGGGGCCTCATAGCCGGGAGGCCAGCTGACCTCATCCTAAGCCCATTCAGCAGTGTTTTAAAACCAAAGGGCACGTCCGTCTACCTCAGGCTGTCCCCAAACACCAAACCCACTCAATCCATGATCAGTTCAGTCAGTGTCACCTAGCCATTCTGGTTTGCACATTTTGGTGATGGGAGCATTTGAGATGAGTGACAGTTTTGGGGTATTGTCTTTGGAGTGACTCTTATATCATACTTGGTGTTTATGAATGCACCAATTCCACTTTCTGTGCCCCAGCTTTTTTTCCCCACTGACAACACTTTCAACACCTTTGTTAGCTTAATCCTCACATTCTACAGTATTTCAGTGAAAACATTTTCTTAAACAGTGGCATTGTATAAAAAATAGGCAATGCTTCCCATTTGTTTGTACATTTTGTAGTCTAGCCATCCAGAAACTTCTGATCACAAAATTGTCAAAATAATGCCGGGCGGTGGTGGTGCACGCCTTTAATCCCAGCACTCGGGAGGCAGAGGCAGGCAGATCTCTGTGAGTTCCAGGCCAGCCTGGGCTACCAAGTGAGTCCCAGGAAAGGCACAAAGCTACACAGAGAAACCCTGTCTCGAAAAACCAAAAAAAATTGTCAAAATAATAAACATAATCAGTTCTTCTTCCTAGTTATTTTTCTCGGTATGGTTGTTAGTTTTTAAACTGTGAAATGATTGAGTCAAAGAGTCTGATCATTTGAAAGCTGCTTCTCTTCACCCAGAAAGCCTGCAGAAGTCTGCATTCAGTGCATACTCTAGTGGATATAATGAGAAAACTTCCAGCTATCTGGTTCAGTTTATACTCTGAGTATAAGATGGTAGATACAGTGAGAAAGCCTTCAGCAGTCTGCATTCAGTTCATTCTCTGAATATAAGATGGTGGATACAGTGCCCCCCACCCTTACCTCCATATGGAGACTTAGACCACCATAGGGCCTGGTAATAAAAGCTTGCTGATTAGGTGCATGCCTGAGGTTTATAGACAGTCTGAATTATCAATGCTTGCCAGAAACCTGATCCAAGTGTCCTCATTTGAATGAAGAATGATCTAATTCTTTCCCATTAAACCATTGACCAAGAAGTTACAGAGCATGGCTGGAGCAGACAGCAGTCCATGGTACTGCTGCCATATGTTTTGAGCCTTAGAGCCTGGTGAAAATTGGCAAATGAAGTTGCTACAGATTGCATTCACAGTTCTGTATAATACAGTGCACATGGGGAGACTAAAGACCAAGAAAGACTTAGCCAAGCCTCTTCAGATCCAGGCTCCTGTCTGCCAGTTTGCTGTTCTTGCAACTTCAGTCATGACTGGAGGCCACAGCTGCCCTGTGGTAGCTCTCTACTCTTAGAACCTATACAGTGAACAACTGAGTACTTAGAGAATGGAAAGATTGTCTCACTGTGTTTTTATTTTAATGACAGGTAGCCTCAATTTCTAATTTCTTCCTATTCTCATTATCCAGGCTTCTTTGTTAAAAAATTATTTTTTTACATGCATTGGTGTTTTGCCTTGGGTGTTGGGTCCCCTGAAACTGGAGTTACAGATAGGTATGAGCTGCCATGTGGGTTCTGGGATTTGAACCCAGGTCTTCTGGAAGAGCAATCAGTACTCTTAGTCACTGAACCATCTCTCCAGTCCCATCCATACTTCTTTTAATGAAAGTATTTCCTCTGTTGTTAGGGCAGTGGCTCACCTTGAAGAACAGTTCACAAAGAAAAGACAGTACACCCGGCTGGTTCTTTTCCCTTAATCAGTCTGGGGAGTTGAGACTCACTGACTTCCGAGTTCCTTACTTGATAGGCTTAGGATTCCTGACTTGTGGCTTCCCCTGTTATAGACTCAGTAGGAAACTTTATTAATACTTGAGGAGTGTGGACTGTACACATTGTCCCCAGTGTGGCCTCATAGTGTGTTAAA